TATCTCTTACGGCTTAAAGAATATACTCTCACTTAGAAAAAATAACCCAGAAAAGGAATAAATCATTAAAATCAATAAAGAACAAGTAAGAGGTTCTAGTCGGGAGCTCCCGACTAGGTGATACCCTGCACCCTCTACTGCCGACAGGCGATAGGTATAAAATCAAAGATACTTGATATATATATACTATTCTAGAAGCTGCATGTCAAGTTTGGTGACTCTAGCTCATATTATTAACCAAAATCGATCAAAAACAAAACAGGATTTCGATATCGATTTTTATCGATTACTTGGAAACGGGGCAAGTTATCGAATATCGGAAACAAACTCGATCTGTGCGTGCACTAGGAGAACCTACAGCCAAAATTTTAAATCTCTAGCTCTTATAGGTTCTGAGATCCTTGCGTTCATACATACGGACGGACGGACAGCCGGACGGACGGACATGGCTAGATCGACTCGGCTGTTGATGCTGAGCAAGAATATATAAACTTTATGGGGTCGGAGATGCTTCCTTCTGCCTGTTACATACATTTGCACAAATACATAATACCCTTTTTAGCCATTTTCAGGGTATAAAAAGGAATATTGTTGCTTTCGTCTTTCATCAGCTTTGTGATCTGTGAACCAACGCATAAACTAGCTACTACGGCTGAGTCTGTGTAATGACAAACAGCTTTATACAAAGAGATAAAGAGTATCTGTCCAGTCGTTGCAGACACTCTGTCTCATAGATTCGATCCGACAAAAGTTGCCCTGAAATCGGAATACCTAGGCCAATTAATCATAAGCAAAGTGCAGCTAATGATGCCATGAGAGATGCGTAAAGCACCCGTAAGAGAAGTGAACTCTGTGTAATTCGACTTTTACAGCTATGCAGATAATACAGGATGCAGTTTCTGCAGGGTTCGAGGCTCAGGAATCGCGGGTCACGGTTTGATAGCTCAACAAATGACTGGCCGATTGCTGTCAGCTTCGAGACATGAATTATAGCTCGCTTGTTGTGCCATTTTCCCAAAGGGGAGCGAAGAGAGAGGCGAGAAAAGAGAAGCGCAGAAGAGAGCGAAAAAATGGGGAAGGTGCAATAACAATACGCTTTCATTAACTTAAGCCACGTGCTTGGCCATCGCCTTTTGCCGCTGTTGTTATCGGCCTTTTAGGCCGCTTTCTGTCCGATTTTCGGAATACCCTAACTCCTTTGAATGTGGCTAAAAACGGGTATATTGCCGTTGTGCAAATGTATGCAACAGGCAGAAAGAGTTGTATTGTCATGTCACTTATTATTCCGATAACTGTCTCAAATCCGATTGAATCTAAGAATCTATCTAAAAAAAGTAATAAACGATTTACAGCCTGGGTTAACCAAGGACATCTCGAGGAAACTTGAAACTGTGCATTAACTATTGGGGCTAGTTAGTTGTCGATAATTATCGATAATTTAAATTGATAAAGTTCAAACAATCTTAAGGGTAAACTATTCTCGGATGCGTCTACATAAATAAATGCTCTGTCTCTAGCTTTCGTTATCGGCAATTATTGCTAAAACCGTTCTGAAAGTCGATTTATGTTTATCGATTTTGGGACCACTTACATTTCGATAATTATCGATAGTTTAAGTTTATATAGATAATAATATTTTACTCCCAAGCTACATCTCTTAACTCTCAGCCGATTTCAATAGCCTTTAGAATATATAGACTTTTGATTTACGGCATGATCGGACAATAAAGATAAGAGTTAGTTTATAGTCAAGTTTTCTAGTTGTGGAACTAGGGCAGTCCAAAGCTGATTACAGGGTATTTGCTCGTCGCACACGCCCACGCACACAGAGACACACACATTTCAAGTTCAGTGCATATAGAGCTGAGGCTGAAAGTGAAGCTGAAGTTGAAGTGCCTGCGCCCTCAGCTACAGCTTCCAAATTCAACTCGAGCTGCCACCTGCAGCAATTTCAAGGTGTCGATAAAGCTGACGATGACGATGATGACGATGACGATGATGATGATGACGATGATGATGATGATCGCGCTGATAATGAAGCTGGCGGCAGCTGTAGCTGTAGAAAGCCAAAGCCGTCAAGTGTCTTGACCCTCATTAATTCAAGTAAGCCGCAAGTCGAATTCGCGAAAAAAAAGACTTACAACAAACAGAAGAAGAAGAGAGAAAAAAACGGTTTCAGTTTCAGTTGGGAGTTGGTTTGGTTAGCGGGGGAAATAATAAAACTAAAAAACCGAACAAAAAAAAAAAAAACAGTTTTCTTGGCCCGGTGCGCAATTAACATACGTAATTTATTGAAATTCAATTTTTTGATTTCATTTGGGTTTTTGGCTTCTTGGCCGGCCGTGTTTTCACTTTCGTTCGGCATCCGAAAATTCCAAGCATCCGGCCAAAGTGTTGCCAACCAGTTTACAGCGATCTCTCGGACCGCGAGGCCCGGCGAGGCCTGACTGACTGCCCGCTTACCACGATTATTGTGATTATTATTGGCCCGGCTAAGAGGCGGCGGCGGCGGCGGCAGCGCGAAACCTCAAAACACAAACACACACACACACACACACACACACACACACAGCTACAAATTGAAAACGAAAGTGAAAATGTTTTAAAAGGCGCTGGCGACAAAAAATGTCAAGCAAAAGAAAAGGCCAACCAAAGACAGACTGAGAGAGACTGGTCTAGTCGGGCGTGCCCGACTAGGAGATGGCCTCAGGCCATACACACATACATGCACGCACGAGCACACATACACAGTCACGCATGCGCACTTCTTCTTCTTCTTCTTCTTCGCTCAGCACTATACTTTGAGAACTGCATTCTTGATTAACTTCGGTATTTGTGGTCCGATCTCGATGAACTTTACAGGTTATCAATATTACACGCAAGTGTGTGTGCATACCGAAGCAGAAGTCTCTTGCTTTTGAATAGAGTTTTATTTAGCAATTTTATAGAATTGGGGCGATAAGCTGCATATATCATATGAGAAGCTACATATGAAGTTTGGTGCATCTAGCTATCATGTTCTTCGAGCTATGCTAAAAGAACGAGGTCTCGAAATCGATAATTATCGATAATTTGTAAGCAGAAGTATATACATAAGATAATTTGATGAGTAGAATATATATATTATTCAAATCTGAAGACTTTTAGCCTTTATAATCATGGATATATCGAATCAGCTCAACTCAGCTCGACTTTATGGTTCCAAACTAGGTCTCAAAATCGATATTTATCGATAAGTTGTAGGTGGTATATATATAACAAAATGTTGATGAGGATATATATTATTCAAATCTCAAGACTTTTAGCCTTTATAGTCATGGATATATCGAATCAGCTCAACTCAGCTCGACTTTATGGTTCCAAACTAAGTCTCGGAATCGATATTTATCGATAAGTTGTGGGTGATATGTATATGACAAAATGTTGATGAGGATATATATTATTCAAATCGCAAGACTTTCAGCCTTTATAGTCATGGATATATCGAATCAGCTCAACTCAGCTCGACTTTATGGTTCCAAACTAGGTCTCAAAATCGATATTTATCGATAAGTTGTAGGTGGTATATATATAACAAAATGTTGAGGAGCATATATATTATTCAAATCGCAAGACTTTTAGCCTTTATAGTCATGGCTATATCGACAAAGCTCAACTCAGCTCGACTTTATGGTTCCAAACTAGGTCTCAAAATCGATATTTATCGATAAGTTGTAGGTAGTATATATATAACAAAACGTTGAGGATATATATTATTCAAATCTCAAGACTTTCAGCCTTTATAGTCATGGATATATCGAATCAGCTCAACTCAGCTCGACTTTATGGTTTCAAACTAGGTCTCAAAATCGATATTTATCGATAAGTTGTAGGTGGTATATACATATATAACAAAATGTTGAGGAGCATATATACTTATTATTCAAATCTTAAGACTTTTAGCCTTTATATAGTGCTGCAAATTTCTGGCTCTGACACACATTTGCACATAACACCCATAACACCCACGATTCAACCATTTCCAATGGGAACAGGGTATAGAGTGAAGAAAAAATCAAATAAAGAAAGAGACACACACACACACACACACACACACACAAAACAGCAGAAGATTGCATAGATCGTGCTGGCCAAACGTTCAAAATGCTGTAAATTAAGTTGGCGATTTGTTGTTAGGTGAAATCTCGCGTCTTCAACTGTGGCTGCTGCTGCTGGTGCTTCTTCTTCTTCTTCTGCTCTTCACTTCCATTCTCCATTGCCATTTTCATGTGCAGCTCAGCTCTGTGTGTAGAAAACTGCAGACCCACCTGCTGGCGTCCAACTTTTACCCATTTACCATTTTGGCCAAAAATTCGGGTATTTGAAGGCCAGCAGGTTAGGCTGAATTGACCCCACAGTTGACTAGTGGACCGCGGGGGATGTTGTTGTGGGAGGAGGTGCAAGCTATTGGCATTCCAATCAATCACGTGATTTTTGTGTCTCTTATTTCACTTGAAACTCTGATTGGACAAACGCTTCGACCTGCCATATTTGGCAATATCTTTGACTACATTTTTAATCCTACTCAACGGCCAGCGCCGAATCCTAATTTTATGGCAACAGCTGAAGCAAGAGAGCATAGTTTGCTTTAACGAAGACGAACATTAAATACCCTTGCCGTAGCAGGCTATTTTAGGGTATAATTGCCAGCGCTTTTCTATCTATGAAAGTAACAAAAGAAAAACTCAAAATGGGGAAAAGTAAAGCTTTCCTATGTAAACTAGATGATATAGTGGGCGGATTTTGAAAAGGTTCTCTTCAGATATTGGAAGCATATAAAAACTGGCTACTGCACAGTTTGATGAAGATATCTCGAGAAGTACAAAAGTTGTTCATACAAAAACTCAAATTTCGACCGACTGTTCCTATGGGAACTATATATATGTATATATATATATATATAGTGAAAGCAGAGCTGATCTTATTGAGCTCTTCATATAATGCGACTAAATTGAAATACCCTTGGAAAGAGTATAGTATACACATATATATTTTGTATGTATCCAAGCAAGCTGTGACACGAATTCAACATTCGAGAAACCTGGCCCTGAATTACAGAACAGAACTCATTCAATATTAAACACTTGCTACAACCAAACGGTGCGTGTGCTTCAAAAAATTCAATTTCGAAAATTATAAACAAAAATAAAATGTTAAAAAAATAAAAGAAGTTGTCAATTATATAACTTTTAATAATAAACAAAATTAAATGAAACAAAAAGAACTCAAATATTTTTCAATCAAAAATTAAATTAAAAAAAATTTGTATTAATAATAAAAAACAAAAAAAAAAAAGTGTTTGTAATATAAAAAGTTTTATTAAAAAAAAAAACAACAAAAAAAAATGTTAATCAAATTTTAAGAATATAAATTCTTTAGAAATTTCAACAAAATTTTAATAAATTCTTTAGATTAATAAAAAAAAAAAATTAAGCCAGAAATTTTTTAAATAAAAAAAAAAAAAGAAAATAAATAAATAAAATTTTTTGGGGAATAAAAAAATGCTGAAATAAATAAATAATAAAAAATAAATAGCAAAAAATAAATTTAAAACACACATTAAATTCAAATAAAAATCAATTAAAAATTTTTAAAATTGAAACAAATTAGATTTCAAAGAGATAAAAATTTACCCAAAATTGCTAATTTAAGTTATTTACTTATTTTTGTATAACTTGTTCTCTATTTTGCTGCGTTTCTTGCAGGAACAACTTGCGATCGAACAAAATCCAAGCCAAGATTAGATGCGTACCACAAAAAAAGCGCGTGTTTCGGTGGGCGGCACACGCAAATATTATGCGAAACGGCGTCGCGACAGTCAGATATGCCGACTCCGAAGCCCGAAGAAGAAGTTCAAGCAGGATTTGAAGAGCCTGATCTACAAATATAAGCGTACGGTTAGGCAAAAGGTAACGGAGAGCCGGGCGGAAATCGCCATCTTCAAGTACACCGTGATCAGTGATTTTCTGCAAATGGATCAGGTGTTGCCCATCGGCAAGAAACGCCCCACGCCCAAACGCAGCCAGGCAAACATGCTGAAGAAGTCGATGAAGCGTACGAAGACGAGCCAGTCGCGGGCCGAGATCTGCGAGGAGGATTCCAATCCCAAGTGAGCAGAGCCACAAATTGGCTTAAGACGTTTGCGTTTTGGATCATGTATTAGCTCAACTCTTAAGATGCAACATTTGATTCCAAATTAAAGTTAAGGCTCTTAAAAGAAATCGCAATCTTGTGTGCAACTAATAACTATTAGGGCATACAAGAGTCGGCTTCGGGCGGTTGCAAACAGATCTCGAGAACTAGTTACCAGTTACGCAGAAAATATGGCAACAGCAACGGGAACAGCCATAAAAAACACACGCATTAACTTTGGCCCAAGAGATTGCAAAAGTTGGCAGGAGCTACTTTTTAGGAGAGCTCCATAGTCCGTGCTTGCTGGCATTTAAATCTTAGTCAGATTTGGCATCAATTGGAATTCATATTTTATATATATAGAAATCTTCATTTGCTATATTCAGGCAGAATCTCAAATAGATCGGACTGTAAGCTCCGAAGTTAATCAGGAATGCATTTCTCGTGCATAGAGTGCAGCAGGCAGCTAGAAGTTAGTTCCGCTTGAGGGTATCTCCTAGTCGCGCACTCTCGACTAGCTTCATTTCATAGTCAATTCGGGGACCTGATAATTGGAATTGGAATATATATATGTATATATAATATACTCCTTGAGTCCAACAAAGTTGTATGTTTGAGTTAAATCTACAACTTGGAATGAAGATAATCTTTAAAGATTTGGCTGGTGGCCTCTCGAAAGTTTTTATTGGACTGTGAGCGTGTATTGGGCAGTTTATCAGTTATTCATATTCCTGTCCTGTTATTAAGAGTATGTTGGTCCATATAAAGAAACGTTTGATAAACACCTGCTGTATATCGGAGTCTGGGCTAGATAATCTCACGATTTGATCGGTAGAAAAATATAACTAATATCTTAAATAGAACTTCGGCACAAGTTCGTTTCTGTTAGTGCGCCATTATCTTTTTACGGCACACTCGTTATCTAAATGCAAACTAAACTGAACCGTTTTCAAGCATCTCGAAACATAAACTAACTAAATTCACAAGAACTTTGTGATGGTCGCCTTGAGCTGATGAACAACAAGAACACGATTAGTACGACAGGAAAGTCACGGCTGCCGCTTATCAACAGTTGTGCAAATAAACAAAACAAAACCAATGAAAACAAAACAATTCACAAAAAAAAAAAAAAAACGATACAAAAGTATCTGTTATCTGTTATCAAATGTTGTGTAGACTTTCACTTCAGCTGTTGTCGTGAATATGGCTTTGGTTAAATATTTTGCTACAATTTCAATAAATTGTCATGCATAACGGGCGAGAATGCGAGCTCAACTACAAAATACCCTGTAATGTGTAGGCTTGAGAAATGCTTGGAATCTTAAATAAAAAGCCTGATTAACACTAAAAGAGCTCGTTTAGCTAGAGAAATGCAAAGATTACTTTAAATTTGATCGCATACCAGACTTCGTAACTCCAGCCTTGATAGTTCCCGAGTTCAATGAGTTCAATTTGTTAACTAAGCTTATTTTCGGTTTTAATTGGTTTCTACAAAAACTCGGAGAAACATCGAGAAGCTCCAGTACGAACTTTGCTGCAAAAGTTCCCGAGTTAATTTAGTTTATATAAAGTGAAATATCATTTATAAAAACACTAAATCCTGAGAATTGTTAGTTTACAATGCATTTCTTGCTATGCGCTGATATGTTATGGCAAAAAGACACACACATATCAAATTTGATAGCTCTAGCTCTCATAGTTCTCGAGCTAATATAATATTATATATTGGGGCCTATATCTTTAATTGTGATTGCAGCAAGATCGCAACGATTTGTGGAGGCACTTTGAGCAAAGAAGTAGCTGTATACCAAATTAGGCAGCTCTAGCTCTTACAGTTCCCGAGTTCAATGAGGTCGGATAGGTCTGCTGATCAAATTGTGAGTTTACAATGCATTTCTTGCTATGCGCTGATATGTGATGGCTAAAAGGCGTCCACATACCAAATTTTATAGCTCTAGCTCTTAGAGTTCTCGAGCTGCTATAATATTTATTGGGGCCTATATTTAACTATCAAAGAAGTAGCTGTATACCAAATTAGGCAGCTCTAGCTCTTACAGTTCCCGAGTTCAATGAGGTCGGATAACACACATCTTGAATATAATCTTTAAGCTGAATGCTTTGTATAAGATATGTTATCGCAAGTGCTTCTAGTTTCTGTAGATTACAGGGTATCTAGATTGCATAGCAAACAGGCGGCTGTCATCTCGCGTAGGTGGTCCGCATGTTTGTTTGAACGGGATGCGGGGTGCGGGTTGGGTTTTGGTGCTACATAAAGTAGCAATGATTAAGTATGTTAAACAAAACTTGCAGCATGCAAATCAGAGCCAGGAAATTATTATTACAACTTTTTAACAGCGTTGTCAAATGCACATTTTTCAGTTTTCTCGCTCGCTTGCGTTGTTTTTCTTGACATTTTTGTTTATTTTTTTCTCTCGACTTTTTGGCTTTTCAGTTTTCGTTTTGCCGCTTGCTTTTGAATTCATTAGCAGTACATGGCTTCCGTATTTGGCCACCCGAGCGGTGGAGCCATGGGCCCCGCTTTAGCTTTAGCCAACAATATGGGTCAGAGTCGCGCCGTAAATGGGCCCCAGGCCGTCAAAGCATTTTACAGCTACCTCTTTAGCTGGCAAGCTGGCTAAAGTTAGAAAAATATATAAATAAATATTTTAGTATACCCTGAACCCATTTAAAATGGGTAAAAAGGGTATTATGTATTCGTGCAAATGTATGTAACAGGCAGAAGGAAGCAGCTCCGACCCCATAAATCTAGCCATGTCCGTCTGTCCGTCCGTCTGTCTGAACGCAAGGATCTCAGTACCTATAAGAGCTAGAGACTTGAAATTTTGGCTGTAGGTCCTCCTAGTGCACGCACAGATCGAGTTTGTTTCCGAGATTCGATAACTTGCCCCGTTTGCAAGCAATCGATAAAAATCGATATCGAAATTCTGTTTATTGAGCAATTTCGGCAAATAATAAGAACTAAAATCATCAAACTTGACATGTAGCTTCTAGAATAGTCTATATATATCAAGTACTTATCATTTTATACCTCGCTGTTGGAAGAAGAGGGTACAGGGTATCCCCTAGTCGGGAGCTCCCGACAAGAACATCGTACTTGCTTTTATTTTTGCCAAATCAGTTGGGGGGGGTCGGGTAACAAAATCCAAATGCGCTGCAAGTCGATTTTCTTGCGGTGTCTCGAATTGCCCCCGCCCCGGGCTCAGCTCAACTCAGCTCAGCTCGACGGGGGCATGCTTATGCAAGCCGCATGAGAAGTCAGCTATTCCTTTGGCTTATCAGCAGCGAAACAGTTCCCGGCCACATCTATGGCCGAGGAAGCGGCCCAGCTGAAAGCATATTCATTTGGCATTGGCGGTTGGCTTTTGGTTACACCGCATGCACAACGGTGCGTATGCTTGATGCAGCTAAATGCGCATTTAACTTATAGTCAAGTGATCTGTCAGATATACATATATATATAAATATATAAACACCTAAACATCTATATAAACATTGCTGACTAGAGTGGTCACTCGCCAATTACAACTCTTGACTTTTAGTTGTCATTTTTTTTAGTGCCAATAAAAGTTGTAGAAAATGCCAAGTTAAATTACTTGATAATTCTTATTCTTCCTCTTTGCTCAACTTTGACTAGACGTAGTTGAAGCTTGGCTTTTTGTATATGAACAAAGCTTCTTGTAAATGAGCTTGGTTTTAATTGGTAGGCACGAGTTGTTTTTACTCAAAAGAAACCTTCCAATATTCCCAATGCTTTTGGTCGAGCGCCTTTTATTGTAAAGCAAATATTAGGTCAGTCACAAATAGTCAAATAGGCACAAATAATTCCTGTATTGGCAGCCAATGTGTTGATCCCTGCTCGGGCGCAACCCTTGTAAGTCCCTGCTCGGGCGCCATAAAATATCCAATTCTTCTTCTTCCCATTAGCAATCAATATTAAGCTATGGAACTAGCTTCATTTAAGTTAAACTCTAAAGATTCCCGCGCGGGCGCCTGTTCCAAATCCCTAAAGTTCCTGCTCGGGCGACATGAAAAATTTCTTCCAAATCTTTGATTGTGCTCCGTCATGTTGCTCTAGTTTCCCAGCTAAATATGTGACCAACTAAGGTTGTTCTCATTGAAACGAAAGTTAATATTAACTAAGTGCAAGTTACACATAGCAAGAATTAATTTTGTCGCAGTAACTGGATCTGGATCCCTGCTCGGACGCCCCGGGAAATCTTTGTTACCCTTGTAACCCTTGTAACCCTTGTTGGCAACCCTGCTCGGGCGCCATAAACTATTCAAATATTTTATTATCTTGAATTATGAATAGAAATCTATGCTTTAGTGCAGCTTGCATTTGAAACAGCTTTGACTCTAAGAATTCCAGCTCGGGCGTCTATTCGAATTCCTTGAGGTCCCTGCTCGGGCGCCCTGTGCAATTCTTTTCTTTTACCAGCCAAACTGTTTGCCAACATTTGCTAGTTATTAACCTTATATGCAAGCACTAAAGATACTCAATTTAAATCAAGCTAAGAAAGCCAACTAATTAACTTAGGTCTGTAAGTCCCTGCTCGGGCGCCTATGCAAAGTTCTTAGGATGCCTGCTCGGACGCCTTAGAAAAATCCATTATGGAATTCTTTTAGCATTCCCATCGAAATCGTTTGCCAATGTTTACCAAATATGGCAACATAAAAAGTACTCAATTTGCTGGCTGGCGTAATTTATAAATCAAGCTTAGCAACCCAACCCAGTTGGGCCCAAGTCTGTAAGTCCCTGCTCGGGCGCCGCCAAGTGGCTGAGTTTATTTATTAGGAATTCGTTCAAAGCACTTAAAAGCGACTTCCTAGTGGCAAGACAGAGACAAGTTAGCTGACATTTCTGAGGGCGTGTACGTGTACGTAGCCAACATTGTTTAACCCCACGCACTTGACACTTGCCGTTTAATTGAATTGCATTCACACTGCAATCGCATTTCAATTTGCGAGCAGTAGTAAAGCACGTAATTAGCCAAAACCGCCTCACCTTCGACGAGCAGTCAGACTGGCTGCCGGACAGGCTTACTAACTGGCTGACTGACTGACTGAC